TTTATTTTAACAGAAAACAGTACACTTTAAGGAAAACTCCTTGGACAATAGGTTTAAGCACTCCATGTGAAGGGTGCTATATAAATGCAAGTTGTTGTTGTTTACAATAATTCTCTCTCTAATACCTGACCTCATAGTCTGAGGGGTGGGGTGGTGGGGGCAATGGATAGGTTTTTGTGAGCCATCCTAGGATTAGAGTGCTAGTATGGGATTAGAGCTGGTATGGGATCAGAGATAAGGCAACTTTTTGACCAACAACTATCATCAGTATGTGCGTACTATAGAACTGGCCATAAAACTATGATTACGTATGAATTTTAAACATATTTTGACATTCAGATTGCATTTGAGGTGTAGGTATAATGATGATTTGATGAGCAGTCTTTTAAAATAATGTCGTCGCTAATATATTTCGACAGAAATACTAAAAGCATCCCAATTCATCAGAGAAATGACTGCTGATTCAATATTAGTATGCTATTAAGAAGGCAAGAGTGTTTGATATTCAATACTCGTCTCTTGTGTAAACTGTGAACCAAAGCTATTCAGAGCAGTGATCACCAAACAAGACTTTGAAAACAGTTTTAATTTCAGAAACTCTTATTAATTACAATATATATATATTTAAAAACTCTTTTTATTGAACTAATGACAAAGATTGTTTTGGTCTTTGTTTGAACTTGGCTAATGCAAAGTGAATTATGCAGCAGGTAATAAATTAAAAGAATAATGTCCTGCATTTGCTTTAATCTGTACTGCCTTTCCATTATCTTCCCAAGTCATATAAAACCATCAGATTATCCCCAAGGGATATTTTAAACTCAATGAGCCCTATGTTTAAATGCATTTATATCATACTGGAGTATTTGATTTCTTTCTTATTAATTCAAATAAAGGGTGAAATTACAGCATTACATTTTCTACATCTTCCAGATGTTAATCTCCTTTAGAAATGGGACCATTAAGAGGATAAGGAGAACTGGGGCTTTTAGTGTTGTGTCTTTGACTATTTCAGCGATTGGAGCTTTGGGTTGTTGTAGCCTCTCAAGTATTGCTTTGTGTGGAATGTCCCTTCTTTAGACACTTTAATGGTAAGTCAAAGGGGAGGGCAAGTCTGTATCCTTTTAAATGTTTATTTTTTATATACATGTCCAATTCCCTTTTGATAATCATAAGTTTTGGTTGGACAAATGGTGTTAATAGTCTTCCATAAAAAAAGAATCTTCAAAGTTTGCATTTCTCTAAACCTCTTCATATTGTTTCTCCCTATTTTATCTGAACAAAACCCTGCTTGTTTTTCATTGTCCCCATTATAAGTATATACTGTAGATAGAAAAGAACGGAGGTACAGTGAAAATGCCAACGGCTAAAAAGTGATATTTTCTTGTCAAATAGAAAAGAAACACAAATCACTGGTTTTCTTGGACAAAACATAGAAACTGTTGATTAACCAAAGGGCAATCTAATTCTTTGGTACAACACCAAGATGGAAAGAGGTCACTGAAGCTATGATTTCGTTTGCATTGAAATGCAAACATCGCTTGTCACTTTGCATCCATTAAGTCAATGTGTGAGCCAACTGTGTTAGACACCTGGGAAGTTCAAAAAGCCATTGCTGTATGGAGTGCTTGCACCATCTCAAACATCAGCATGAATATTTTATTTATTTTATGCAAATAGAATTTTTTATTTTACCAACACTGATGGTTGTGAGTGAGGCAACCTCGGAAATGATGTTCATTCCATTGTAATAGAATGAATCTGTGGTTAATTCCACATGCCCAAATATATAGTCATGGATCACTGGTTTTATTGCAAAAAAAATGAAAATATGAAAATAAGGTCCTCAAAATTTCCTAATAAAACAGATGTTATTTAAAAGGTACAGCCAGAGAATTCTTTGTTTCATGGAATCAATCTGAATCTTTCCTTTCACTTGTGTCTATTCCATCAACGCTGTTCAAATCATAAATATCCTCATTAAAGTTTAAATTACAATCAAGTTTGGAAAACCATTCTTTCTTTGGTTTAGAGTTTAACATTCTATGACTAAAGACATAAAGTGACTACCAAGTATTTTTATTTTTGAATGTTTCCTGAATAGCAGAAAGGAAAAACAAATTCCCCACTAACAGAACAATTTCCACAGCTGAAAATGTAATGTGCCAGCAGCTGTTTGTATTATCAATATTTTGTTTGCCCTATTCTTACAAATTTGACCCTCCATAATGCATTTAACACCAGAACTCTTCCCCTTGGGCCTGAATAAATCCAACAGAGCACCTTCACGTAGCACCACGAGATAATGCACGATTCAAGCTGAAAGTGAATAAGAATCTCAGTGCCGAGAATGAACTTCTACTCAGTGGATCAGCTGTCTGGATCAGCTGATCCAGATTTAATGATCAGATTTAATGAGTTAAATATCTCAAACGGAGTAGTGAAAACGCAAGCACCATTAACAGGAATCAACAAAAGAATTTGCCAACGTTTTAGCTAAATTAATATGCGTCAAAATAGCCTAGTGCCATGCTGTTGAAACATCTTATTGATTGAAAATGGAATCATTCCAAATGCGTTTTGTAACTAAATGATCCTGAAAGCCAGCGCTGTGCTCCTAAGTGATTTTCCATCTGCATATTATGTGTTGTGTTGGGAATAAAGTAAAACTGCATGTGCAGTTTTAAAATAGAGAGGTCTATGAATGATACATGCTTCTATAAAATTATATCTTTAGTGAGATCTATCTATATTATTTATATTTAGTTTTTTTTTAATTCACAAGAACTGATACAGAAAAAAATTCTTTAAGCTTCAGTTCAGCTTTCGGTAAATGAAATAGGATGAAATAAAGGGACGCATTTCACCCTGTACAACAAGGACATCTTGTGGTATTCCTTTAAATTACAATCATCATTTATATTGTCTTCAAATCAAAATCCAATGTGATGCATTGTAATGCTATATTTATGCAAAGCCATTTAACTCCCATTAGTTTAGTGTTGCGGAGCGCTAAGCCAATTTATAATTACTTCTCTACTATGAATTGCCCCCTGTAACTCAAATGGACAACAACAATAAATTACGCTGGTAAAGCACCCTTCACATCGGAAAGACTTCCAATTCTAGTGTTCTGTTCCATCATCTTTTAAATAACTTTCCCAATGACTTAGGAAGGGAATATAAACCAGGACAAACAGAAGAAAGAATCCATGTAAATATAAAATAGCAACAACAGGCTTCAAATGAAGTCACCAGTGATTATTAATCAATGTTAACAACCGAACGACAAATATCCATTTCAACTAATTCATCAGAGATCATTGTTATCTGTACATATGAACTTTAATGGAGACAACACATTTTATAAAATTGTTTGCATTTGCAGCATGATGTATAAAGTAACAACATTCATAGTCAACCCAATTCCATTGAATTAAATGTTTTTTATAGAATCCTATTAAGGGGTTCAGCATCAATTGCAGTATTTGGATTCAGACTGACCCATATCAAACTCAAGTGTACACTTCAAATAAATGTGAAAATGCAGGTTATATTTTAACAAAATTCAAATTCACAGAAAATGTATATTTTTTAAAAAAGCCTTTCTTTTTGACAATAGACAAAAAGATAGCCATTAATCTCCATGGTATTATTGGCAAGTTATTCAAAGTAATGCTTTTTCTTCTGTGCAAAAATTTGTGATGTACAAACTTTGTATAGGTATTTAAGACTTTTACAATTGCATAATGCTCAAGTCATCCAAAACATTACATTGAATATACGCGAGTGTTAAACAGAAACTGACATTTATTTGAAGGAATAAAACATTATGTTTTAAATAGGTTCATAGATTTTTTTTTCACCAAATATTATCGTGAAGCACAGTCAGACCTCCCTGGTCATTTTCATTACATGAACTTTGTTTAAAGCAAGCGTTTTTTTTAAATAAATGTTGCTTGTCAAAAGCACTTTTTATCTAGCTCCACAAGAAGAAATAGATGGCGGACTATTTCATTACTTTACTTCTTGCTCCGGGAATGATCACATCCGCGAAGGCTTTGAAGCTGCATTGTTGTGTACCCTGAAAGAAACCATTAGCAACCATGCTTAACATCGTTAGGTGACAAAATGCTGCAAATGAAAAAAATCTATGAATTATCATCTTATCAGCTGTAAACACTCTGTAGATTCTGAATTGACTAGATACAGCACAGCCATGACCGACCACTTACTCCACATTTAGTTGCTTCTTGATAAGAAATGGAACTAATCAATATTTTTTTTCTACAGGCAAGAACCTCTACATTTTACAAAAAAGACTGCACTTCATGGAACAGATTTTGAATCGCAGTAACACTTCAAGTAGTCAAGCCACATTTAACCTCCATAAAGATTAGTTAATGAGTTTATCCTCACAAATCATTTTAGAAAAGTTGAGTCTGGAGGTGACAATGAGGGGTTCAGCTGTGCTGGGAGTCAGGTAAGGATGGAGGTGGAAATAAAATCAGATTTAGTCAAGGACCAGAGATAAGAGTTTGAATGAGAGATGAGGGTCAAACAAAAGAATATGCATTAGTTACGAGAGCTGGGCTGGGTAAGTTGATAGAGTTGAAGCCCGAGGCGAGGAGGTACCAGCGGGAGCCAAGCAGCTTTCATTTTGCTGACATTTAGTTCATTCAACAATTAAAATGTGGATGATTGCTTTAAATTTCAAAGCTAATGGCTTCTCTGCCATTTGCTAAGATCTAGAGTAATAATAAAATAGTAATATAGGTATAGTACTGAACACGTTCACATTTAATTTAATTATTCAGGGAACAAAACGCACAATCACTTTCACCTAAACAAGCAAGAGCTTCAATGTGATGCTAAGATGGCATTGATAGATCGGCAGTAAATATCTTGAATTAACTGCTCCACTGTGAGTGCTATTGGTTAACATACATTATTTTTTAAACAATTAGGAACATATAATTCAAACAGGATAAACTGTGTACCTTCCATCTTGTTCTTGGGTGTGATTGAAAGTGTGCATATTACGAGAAACTCCACCTTGCTGCTGTGTGAAAGAGGAAGGTTGATAGTTTGTTCCACTTTTAATCTGTCTGAGGGTATTTTCTGAATGTGCAGCCCGAATATTAGAGACCAGGTTAGCAGCCAGGTGCTTGTACTTCTTATCTGCAATGAGAAAGGTGCAAAGGAGATTTACTAGGATGGTACCAGGAATAAGGGACTTCAGTTATCAGAAGAGGCTCGAGAAGCTAGGTTTATTCTCCTTGGAGCAGAGTAGGTTAAGAGGAGACTTAATAGAAGTTTTCAATATTATGAGAGGATTCGATAGGGTGAACAAGGAGAAACTATTTCCACTGGCGGATGGGTCGGTAACCCGAGGACACCAATTTAAAATAGTTGTTATAAGAAACAGAGGGGAGGTGAGGAATTTTTTTTNCCACACAGCGAGTTGTTGAGATCTGGAATGCATTGCTTGAAAGGGTGGTGGAAGCTGATTCGATAACAACTTTTAAGAGAGAATTGTTTGGGGTGGACAAGTTTGCAGAGCTATGGGGGAGTGGATTGATTTGTATAGCTCTTTTCAAGGGGCCGACACAGACACGATGGGCCGAATAGCTTCCTTCTGTGCTGTATAATTTTATGATTCTACGATTCTATGATTTGTTACAATAATATAAATCGACACATTGGGTCAAATATCCAAATTTCACAAATCAAATCAGTGCATCTAGAAAGGGAAAAAAATGCAAAGGAATTTGTCAGAGGCAATCCATGACCCTTGCAGATTAGTTGGTAGTTTTAGGGCAGGACAAGCATAACTGTTTCTTACTTTTAGCTGTTTCCTGTGAAATTGAGTCCCCAAAGGTATGTTGAACATTGAACTCCTGTCCTATTAAATGCTGCACTCCTCCTTGTAGCGTAACATTGGTCACGCGCAAAGGGCTGGGTCTTGCCAGCTGTGCTACAAGCCCGGGCAATGTCATTTCCATAGGGGAACTTGTGGTTAAGATCTGTGGATCAAAAGAGAGAAGGAATCCAACATCAGTGATTTTCTGAACAAAATAAACGTTACCGTTTGAGTTCCAATTATTTAGCAATAATCATCCTTCCATTTGATACACAGCCTTCAATGTTGAAATATCTCGAAGAGCTTCACATGCCATCAAGTGTAGTGACTGTGTAACAGAAAAACCAAATTTCTAGCGTAACATAGCCAAATTGTAAATTTACATCTTTACACAGGTACAAGTTAGACACTTTGCCATCCATTAAACAATCAAAAGTAAGCCTTACATTCTGTTCACAAAGTTGAAGTTCAGATCTTTCTCTCTCCTCATAAGTGACTGCTAAACCATCCAACAGTTGTAACCTGGGCAATCGAAACAGTAGGAATGGGCGATATAATATTTTACGAGTTACCTGAAAGAAAGAGGTAGATCATCTGAATGAGTTTAATTTGGCTACGCTCATGCCTTCCACCAATACAGTGCAGCTAAGGTATCACATTCTTCTAGATAAATAGCCTCAAGTCTTTGATATATTTTCATATTGCTAAACCTTCAATATTGTTCAGTCCTCATGAGCAAATAACCAAAATACTCAGGTAACAGAAATTGCTCTCATTTGGAATTTATAAATCCCTCCTTAATAAAAATTCAAAATTTGCATGTAAGTTACCTCTAAATAATTGTTAGTAAAGTAAAACCTGCAGAATATAGCCCAATAGCAAAAGAATATGATTATGTACATCTTAATTTTTCTCTCTCTTTAACTTCTGTTCCAATTGGCCAAAAGGCTCTAACAACCTGCGCTCTAGTTGACCACCAGAAGATGTACAACAATGACCCAAGTTGACTCGACATCAATTCCTCTCCCGAGGGGCGAGTAACTTGCTCACACCTTCTGCTTCCTTTTGACAGAACAAACACCAGGAAATCACCATAGGGGAAATCTTACGTGTTGTGTGTGTGGTGGAAGATGGGAGCAAGACCACATTGTGATTAAATGTAAATGTAACTGGCTCACTTTAGAGTAAAGAGGTTTGTATTAGGGTTTATATATGAACATGAATGTCATATTTGCCGCATGTTTAATCTCTCAAATCAATTAATAATAGTAGTGAATAAGCGACAGGTCCTACAATAGGACTATTTTTCTCATGCTTTAGCACTGAAACTCTTAAATGTTCTCTGAGTTCAAGGCTGTATTGTCTGGGGATTGTCTAATCCATCACTGCTGCTGGTTCACACATTGTCTGACTAAAGTGCATCATATTCCCTTTGGATGTAAAGCACAAAATGTTACATTGCCCAGTCTGATCAATTCTCACATACAAGAAAAGGGTTTTGGATTGTTAACGGAAGGTAGCATTAGCTGATGTGCAGTGCATTCAAATAAAGGTGATGCATTTGGTTTGACTTGTGATCACTGACATATTTTCTAATATGTGCTATTTCACAATGAATTTAGTGGAAATTGAATTGTGCTAACCTTCCACAGATTACATTACAGTTTTAATCTTTCATGAAAATATTATTTAGCTTCAACTGACTCGAGTTGCCAGCTTTCAAAAAGACGTACTACTGACAATATATTAAAATCAATTGTCACAGACAAACAGTGCCGTTTTTAACGAAGGCATGAAATCTCTTATTTCAAAGAGATTTCCTTCACCTATCTCCATTTTTGTCTGATCTCTCGGATTACACATCAACTATGACTGAGAATAGGCTACTCTCCACTACTGGACATCTGTAAGGAGGTATGCTAGAGTGGCCTGATTAAGAAACTCTTTGTTTATTCCTCTTCCCCAAGGAGTTGCACCATTCATCAACAATTAAGATACTCAGCTGTGAGGAGGCAGCAGCTATGAACCTACAAGGCACTGCTCCAAGACTAATGTTGATAGTCTAATATAGATTCATTTTATCTCCTCAAGCATTCTGGCTAAACTTCAATTTTATTAATACATGTTATAGGAACTTAATACTGTAGGTGAGTGCAACTACAACTGAGTTTCGCCCACAAATATACAGTCAATTCACTTTATAGCATATTCTGTGAAGCGCTTTGAGACATCTAGAAGACGTGAAAAGCACTATATCAAATGCAAGGATTATTATTATTATAATACCATTTCGAAACAGTTACAACAGAAAATGACTGTATTTTATGACCTCACCTGAACACTTCAATATGGTTATTTTCTTATCAATGCTCCCTCTATTATTGTATTGCTCTTCATGTAATATATGCTAAGTTTATGGATATTCACAAATCTCAATTGCACAGAACAGCTTGTTCTGATATCTGTAATGCTACTCAGCACCAGCAAAAGAAACAAGTAAAAAAAATACAACTGCCCCTCCATCAACAACTCCTTGGCATATATTGTAAAATATGTGATGGATAATGAAAGCGATTTCCCACTGGCAATCCCATCTCATTTTGCTAATCAAAAATCAATAAGCAATAAGATCATTGGTCACTCCAAGACACCTGATATTCTCTACTTAAAGACAAACATTTATTAAAGGGTTAAGTGCAAACAGACATTCCACAATTTTGCAAAACCCACAAATAAAATCGTAAGACTTACAGGATTGTCAATCATAGAAAGCTCTGTCAAATTTGAGAGTCCATCAAGTTTTTCCAGTGAAAATATGTCCTGTGTCAAAAATAATATATATTTTGGGAGATGGGAAAATAATAAATTCAGAAATAACAAGCCATTCAACAAATTAACAAAATACCAACAAGCAGTTAGTTAAATTTAGGCATTCCCCATACTAGTGACACTCAGCAGGTTTAGCAAAGGCTTAATACAACAACAAGGTTATGCATACATTTTGCTTGCACATATATCTTGGGCTCCATTTTCTTCAGCTTTACTTGCAAGTCTTAAATCATTTCAACTTGCATTACCCATTGGTTTTCAACGTAGCCCCTTTTTTCCAAAAATATAAGCACTTTTAGAGTGAAAACAATAAGATTTCACAGCTGGAACACGATGCCACATTAATCCTTTCATTTCCTTTAAATCTATGTAGCAGTCCGAAATAATCATTCCTAAAAAAANGTCTCAAATTGATGTTAATTAAGGAGGCATTCAAAGTCTGGATTTCCATTCCCTGGTTTATGTTCAGAGCTGTCATTCAACCATATGGCAGTGACTCTGGCCCCTGGCTACTCTCTCGGATGACAGGCTGTTAAGTAGCGCAATTGGCAGCTCTACAGGTAAATATGTGCAATGAGCATTTCATTATTGTATTTTAGTAATTATAGGGACATGGGCAATATTTTAGAACTAAAGAGAACACAGCTATAGGTGAATGAAAATGATTCCAGTGACACTAATCTGAGTTCAAATCTCCTGTTGTGGAACTTTTTTTTTACTAAGTAAAATAATTTTGTTCGGAGAAAATAGATTAGAGAAATATATATATACAATACATGGGAAGCTGGAATAAACAACATGTTTCATTCCTGGGATGCTTAGTATGATTGTTTGGGGACATTCATTTATTCATTACAAAGAGCAGTCGCAAGAATATGTTTATTTTAAAAGGAGAATTTTAGCTTATTTTTCATTTTACAGATATTTAATCGCTGGGTATCTGACACATGTAGAAATCCATTACCCTGCTTAAGAGTATCCAAACCAGACTTAAGAACTCTACATACACATGCCACCACCTATGACATTTCCCATTTGGAAATGGATGCACCCTGTTTACCTAATACTGGTACCTCATCAAAGTGGCTGTTCTAAATATGTGACCTTGGCAGTGAATGGTGGCAGGTTATTCAACTATTGGGCCCAGCGCAGATGGGTCTTTTACTTTGGTTACAGAGTGAGCTCAATTGCAGTGCTACATCCATAATGCTGTTCAAAGGATCTTACCTGAACTTTATTTGCACCAAGAAAGAGTCGCTGTAGTTTCACCAATGGATTCAAGTAATTAAGTTCGCGAATCCTATTTTCCTCTAGATGGAGCTCAACAAGAGCACCTTGGCTCCAGAAAGAGTTTGCGTTGATCATTTTGATTCGATTTTGACTTAACATTAGTTCAACAAGGTACCGTAAGCCATCAAGGCCTTCGATCTGAGTGATATTGTTGCCTACAATATAAAGCACTGAAATTGGCCAAATGCTGGGTTTGATGCCAAGAAACACACATATAAAGAGGCACATTCGCTCATGTTACAGATTAATTCCATAAGAATATAGCAACTCAAAGAGCTTCACAAATAATTACTTTTGAGCGTAGTGACTGCTTTTGTAGGTAAATACAGCAGCCACTTGGACCAGCGAGGTTCCACAAACATCCATGAGATGAATGACCAACTAATCTACAGGGTGACCAAAAAGTCTTATTTTTCAGCTTCCCTATTGTCTAAAAAAAGTCATAACTTCTTTAAGACTTATTCGACATTGTAATGGTATCATGACTTTTTGGTCACCCTTTAGATAACTGCTAGCCAAAACAACAAGAAAAACTGTCTTCTCTTTTTAAATAGTGTTATGGAATCTTTAATATCCACCTATTAAAGCAGATAGAACCTCAGTTTTAACATCTCATCTCAAAGCCAACATCTATTACAATGCAGCACAGGTATACAACATTTTAATTCATGATAAGTATTGTTTACTATCTCGCAGATTGAAATACTCATTTACAACTTCGCATTTTTGGAGGAAAATAATAAAACCAAATCCATTTATAATGACTGCAATTTAGCCGCCAGATAACCACTTACCTTGCAAAAACAATGTTCTCAGATTTGTGAGTCTGCTCAGCTCCAGTTGAGCCAGGTTAGAAATGCCATTGTAGGCTAAATGAAGCACTTCTAAACTTTCCATTACTGGAGGAAGTAGCCCATAAACCCCAACATCTCTGCAATTAGAACAAAGAGTGATTGATTATGTAACACAATAAATCAACAAGCTACAATTTAGTTCGAGACTATCAAGAAGATCAAAGTGCAATTCAGAATCAGGCATCAAAATTCTATTCAATGGGTTAACAAAAATGGAAATTGTCAGTATCATACAGTTAATAATAAATTTGGCACTCGTGTTACATCAGAATAGATACCAGCGCAGAAGTCCACCTTTGAGCACAATTTATCCTGTAACTTTCATTAATGTGGTTAATAGACTGTGATGTAAGCTTACTCTTGGAGATAGGCTACATCAAATGTACTCACTTGTTGTCAATAGGATTTATAATATTAAATATAGCTTCTCATAATAATACTGCAGTCTAATTTATGAGATTCGCAAACACAGTGGAAAGTATAAATCTTTGCAGTAGCTTCCCACAGGAAATAACATGGGTGGAGCACACAATAAGAGTCGAAGGAATGGCTTGAATTAGATTCTTGTTCTATGTTTTTTTATGATCTCATTCTTCTAATTGAAGAAAGAAGCACAGGGTATGGATGGCTCAAGCAGAAAATTACATAAAAATTTTAAATATCATAATGTCTTAAAAGGCATTTATTTTTTGAGAAGTCTGCTTTTAATGGTAACCCGGGAATCAAACAGAGCATTGTACAGGATCATTTGGTCTCTGAAGTTGTTATGTAAAAATATTGACCCAGATTTTCCCCATTTTTGGCAGTACTGTAGCACAGTGTGATGGAGAGACTGTAAATTTCTATTCCACTGCGGTCAGTGGGCTGGCAGCCAAGAGCATCAGGATATCAGTGAAAGCCATTCCTGGCAGGTTTTCTGCACTGTGGCTTCAATTTTAGTGGCCCGTGGTTGGTAAATATGTACCTTAGTTATAACTAGATTTTCTTTTTTTTGTGAACAAATATATGAAGAGTAGAAAAGACAGTTAATATCAATTTGTTGAACCTGTTTTGACTCCAGTTTCAAGATGCAATCATGTGTGTGTTTTCCTGTTTCATTCAAACTAGTTTGAAAACAAAACAGGAGAAAGACTAATCTTTCAATTCTCTTCTCCCTCCCAACCAGATCCTTTGACCTGTAGAAGCTTTCTATTGCTGAAATTGAAGAGAAATGGAACATGTCAAACATGATGATGATAGCATGGGTTGCCTGGCAAGAGAAAATCTAGGTCAATCATTTTTTTTTGGTGATAACAAACTAAGTTGATTCAGTCGAGCCAATAATTTACCTGATGCCCTTGGTTTGCTGTCCATAACCACTGGAAGTCACTTTCTGCTGGAGAAGTTGTCTATTAGTCAAGTGAAGTTGAGACTTTTGTCTTGGGAAGATGGACTCAATGTGGTTGTAGTTTAAATGAAGAACCTTCATAATAAACAAAATAATGAAATAATTGGATTTTTGGGTTATTAACCAGAGGCTAATAAGAGGTTTCTGTAAATTATTTTAACAACTACGAAATATAAAGAACCAAATGTAATCTGACATTGGTGGTAATTTGAGTCATTTAATAAAATATAAGTTGCAAGGAGGATAATTTAACAGTTTCAAACCTTGGAAATGAGCCATTTGACTTCCATAAATGAGTCTATGGACATTAGCAACACCAGTGAGGTGTAAACAACGAATATGTAGTTTGTAGTGGATAGCATTTCTTGTTATCACTAGTATCATTTATTCGCAGAATTTGGAAAAGAACAACAAAAATTATCTTCATAGAACTGGAAAATAACACACTCACTTTGACAGTAGGGAGAAAGATAAGGCCACTGAAGGATGTGAGGTTATTTCGCTCCAAATTGATTCTCTGTAAATGTTCAAATTTCTTTGGAGGTCCAAGATCTACAGTTCTGGTAAATGTGGAGGGAAATTTTTAATGCTGTAGCTGATATTATAACCACATTGTAAATTCATTTGTGACACAATCCTCATACCGTATTTACTATTTATTAAGGGCTTTATGACTACTTTCTCAAATAGACTATTGGGCTCTCTGTCAAGGTACCTTGTCCTTTAATGATTCCAGTCTGTTCTTCATCTCTTTATTCACAATATATTGTATAATGGAACTATGAACATGGCTGTGATTACTTTGTGCCACTGTTTAAAACAGAACTTTTCTTTGTCATGTTAAAACTTTTAATTTTTTTCAGGTAGGATCAAGTTGCACGTTGGTAATTTCCAATTACCACACTAATATACTCTATTTAATCAAATTAAATAAATAATTAAATCTTACAGTTGTCACAGCATCTTTCGATTCGGGAGGACGTGTCAAAGCACTTCAGAGTTAAGTCCTGTGACCGTGTATTTTGTAGGTGAAAAGTTACTATTTTGTGCTAAAGCAAACAGTCTTAACTGTAAGCATGTAAAATACTTTGAAAGATCACAATATAGCAACAGTGTGTAGTTATCAAGTTTAAAGCAAGCTTTTTTCAAGAAAAAATCATTATATTTGGACAATATGCTTTAGCACTAGTACCAATATGTGTTACTTAATACAGTACTACAGTACCTGATTGCATAATCTGGTAACTCCAGCTTCAAGAGCTCTGAGACATTTGAATATCCCAGTTTCTCTGCAATCATGTCAGACGTGAGTCTACCTCCAAACACATCTTTTGCATTTTCGCATTCTGTTGATTCCTGAACATAGATATAAGATGTCAGACTGGGTCATATTTTTGCAGACTTGATTTTTAAATTTATTTTTGACTGAAAGTATGTACAGGAGGGGCAGCCCCGATAGTGTAGCGGAGTGAGCAGCCATTTACGGACCGGGAGCTTGCTCCTCGCTGAGATTGCTGGTCTCAGGTAGGCTGAATGGGGAGGTTAAATTGGCCGAACCTCCCCAGGGAAGGGAAAAACTGCCAGGGTTCCCATTCCTGTTCCTTCTGCAGCATCCTCTACTGGATGTGTGCACATGTGGCAGCTGGGTGGGGAGAGATCAGGCTCGGTTATAACACCCTCTATTATTCGTGTGCCCCCTGACACTCACTGCCAAGTCTCACATATGAACCATAGCCATTTGGGTGCGGTACGAGTTAGGGCAATCAGTGCCAGTACCTATCAAGAAGAGACCAGACGACGAGCTGTGTCTGGTATATATCATCGAACATAATGTCTGGTCAATACTGCTGCTACTTTATACATCACTGCATACGTTATGGCTTGGAGGCATCCAAAACATTGGCTGTCCAAACCTCTCTCCAAAGCACAGCCAGATCTAGAACTGGAGAATCAGAACTACTTTATGTGTACGGAATCCTCAGAACTTTCCACGAGCATTAGAAAGTTAAGGTATGGGAATCATTTATAAAATTATTACATATCCTGAAAACTCTAGGATAAACTTAAATCTATGGTGACGGGGCTTTGATTATTTGAACCAGTGAACCAGCACATTATCTTCAGTGTGAGAAATTATTTCTGTATCTTAAATGATCAAAGTTCTAAAGTATGTTTACAGTAATAAAGAAAATAAGTCTGTGGTAACTGAATGCAGACTAACCACTGCTTGTCCATCAAGAGCCTTCAGAGCAGGTAGATGGTAGATGATAAAGAGACGGTAATTCTCCTGTGTATTGACCAATGGGTTTCGATACAAGTCCAATATGACAAGGTTTTCCATTCCCTACAAATGCATGAAAAAAATACAGTCACTACACTTTACAGTATATTCTGTGAAGTGCTTTGAGACGTCTCAAAGATGTGATCAAATGCAGGGATTGTTTATTATTATGAAATGGATGACAAACAGTTCAATTCATGTTGCAATTCAAAAGGGTGTTTTGAGAACAGATATCTTCCCATGATACCGAAACTAAACAGAAACTGCTAATTAAGTGACATTAGCAGCAACAGAAAAGTTTTATTTTGTTGTTCATAAAAGTACATAGTGATATTTACCTTCAAGTAGTAGATCTCACAGTTGTTATTTATCTGGTTGTTGGCCAAATAAAGCTCTATTATGGAGTTGACTTTGCGAAAACAGCGTAATGAACAAATCTGGTTGTTTTCCATCGATAGGTGATGGAGGTAGGGTAGTCTATCCAGACCACTATCTTCTAAATTACTCAACTGATTATTCCCAAGGTTCAGGCGAGTTAGCATTCCCAGTTTCGAAATTCCTGCAGAAAGAAACATGTAAATTAAACTAAAAATGATTCAACATTGAGGATCCTAAATAACAAATCAAGGTATAACACAAAAGATTTGTGAATGACTATAACACGTTTTTATTTCCCACAATATTTTGACGACTGATTTATTTGGAGATGTGTCATGCTCACTAAAGGTGTCAGAACCAGTTAGCTCTCAAACCAACAATCAATGTCACACTTCACTTATGTCTTTTCTCTGCACATTGTCCATTGACATATTCTGGAACAGCACTACTGATCACGGCCTGCATTTGCAAAGCTGTGCTTATCTGTTTTTCAGACTTCAGGCAGACTTCACAGAGATAGACTACACATAAAATAAGCGAAATTCTATCAAAATATGAGTACTACCTTCAAGTTTAGTAATGCAATTATTTTCCAAAGAAAGTTCCTCAAGATGGAGGCAGCGATCCAAGCCTTCAATTTTACGGATTATGTTGCTGTTAAAGGAAGCCCAACGCAAATTCACCAGCCTCTCTAGATTTGTAATCCGTGAAATATTCTGTCCATCTAAATTTACTGTTGAGATCTGTGAATAAAAACACTAGTATATAAAAGAAAAGTAACAGTCTGCTATGTGTGCTATAACATATCCCTTTCTATGCCAGTGTAACTTGCTTACACATAAAAAAGGCCATCATTTTAATTAAAGACCCTCCTAAATTTCCATCCAAAATATTTCTAATGAACTCATCTCTAAATGTAAATGTATGAGACTAGGTTTCTGGACTTGGATTGGGACAATATATTTCTGTTAATTTTAGAAATATATACAAGTATTAAAGATGATAATATTTATTAAACTCATAGGGAAAGTTATTTCTCCCAAATGTAATGAATGGAATTCAGTCCAAGTTTGTGAATAATCTCAAAGTGGCCATCCATAACGTCAAGAAGGTATTGCCTTACAATTGCAAGTTTTCGAGAGATTATTCCTCAGTTAGAGAAATACACAATTATCGATCAGCTTGCACTAACAGTTATTGCTTTGTTCATTCATATCTGTCTGAATCAGTTTAATAAACAGAAGATTAACAACTGAATGAGCAGCACAATAAACTCCTGTACAAATCAAATGACTATTCTAAACTGACATAGTATTATTCTGCAAAAGTCCAGTGTCTTTCTGATTGATTTTTCTTTGTTGAAACATTGCAGAAACTAGGTTACGGTTCATAAAGCCTTACTTACCTTGGCTAACCAGCTTGAGTTTTGTTCAAGGGATGGATTAGGTTTGCATTTGCTGAATTTAGTCAGCATCTGGGCACAGGACATTAAATTGAGATAACGAGGCTGTACTTTGTCAGTTCTCGAATTTATTAGTAATAAAACCTGGCAAAAAGAGGGGGGAAATTGTCAAATTAATAGGTGATTTGAAAAAAGTCAAATATGAAATTAATTCTGACTGGTGATAAGTATGATAATGAGTGCGAAGATTAAATAGAAGCATTTTGTACAAATTATCTAGTGTACAATTTTACAAAGAGGTCTAATTTAGGAATTAAGTTAACTTTGTGTACAACAGGTGTCCATAGATATGTAATTATTCACCAATATAAAAATGCAGAATATCTGGTTGTTACATAATTATGGACATTCATAATTTTCCACTGGTATTATCACCACAGGCACGTGTGTATGTGAGTGTGTCCTTGCTTGTGTGTGCCTGTGTGCGCGCGTACATTCATGTAACTGCTCACTGCTAGCATGCACATGTTGTATAGACATAATTGCACTGTAGAAAAATGATGCTCATCATTAATATAATGCATCTGGAATACAGTTTAACGGTATGATTAATCTATGCAGACTTTCTGCTTTCCAGGGGTAATAATTCCTCCAACAACAACTACAAAAGTATTTGGGCATTCAATCCACAACTGTTTTAGGGACATTGCTGTGCGCAATTGGCTGCTACATTTCGCTCACAAAAATACACAATAGGTCCACGTTACAATATATTCTGTGAAGCGCTTTGAGAAGTCTCAGCAGCATGATAAGGTGTTATATCAAAAGCAAGGATTATTATTATAGACAAATTGAACAAGATCATAAAATTTCAATGGAGGATATTTGAGGGTGAGACCTGTGTAATCCTCGGTCCAGCAGTCATACGAGTGAATACTGCAGGTTCATCATCTGTAACAGCCTCTCCATTCAAACAAGTCAGAGACTTTAACTGCTCAAGAACTGTCACACGTGAAAATCCAGGCTTCTCAAACATATGAGGATATAACAGAGAGAAAACAATTAGATCATCTGGAGTTAATCGGACTACAGGAACCTTTTTGTTTTTCAGTGAAACTATACTGATTTATATGCAATAAAAAAGTGCAGAGCTGCAAAACAGGATTAATGTTTTACATGATGATTTGCTTTTTTATTCGGGCTTCTGTCAGGATCACTGAGCTCCCCACCAGCCTGCACCAGCTGAATGGAGCGGCAATACAAATCATCAGATATGTTCTATCAGATATAGAACTTCACTCACATATAATCTCTTAATGTGCAAGTTATTTGTGTACTTTTAGAAATATATACAATTACTAAAGATGATAATATTTATTAAACTCATAGGTAAAAATATTTCTCCCAAGTGTAATGAATGGAATTCGGCCCACGTTTGTGAATAATCTCAAAGTGGCCATCCATAACGTCATGAAGGAATTGCCTTACAATTGTAAGTTTTCGAGAGGTTATTCTTCGGGTAGAGAAATATATAATTATCAATCAGCTTGCACTGATGGTTATTGCTTTGCTCATTCATATCTATCTGAATCAGTTTAATAAATAAAAGATTAACAGCTGAATGAGCAGCACAATAAATTCCTGGACAAATTAAATGACTATTCTAAACTGACATGGTATTATTCTGCAAAAGTCCAAAGTGTTTTTCTGATTGTTTTTTCTTTGTTGAAACATTGCGCAAACTAGGTTACAGTTCATAAAGCCTTACTTACCTTGGCTAACCAGCTTGAGTTTTATTCAAGGGATGGATTAAGTTTGCATTTGCTGAATTTAGTCAGCATCTGGGCACAGGACATTAAATTGAGATTTAATGGGTCCGTAACTCTGTCTGTCCAACGCTTTGGGTCATCCTCCCGATGTGAAAGGTGCTATACAAATGTAATTTTGTTGTTGTTGTAGTTGTACTTGGTTTGCTGGCTCAATGAAGATACAGTATAAAACACACAGACTTTCTAGGACCTGCTAATGTACCCACGTAGGTATATTTAATTAAGTTTATAATCTGTGTAATTCCTGTTGATTATAAATGTCTCTCCTAATACCTTGCCATTGTTGTCAACATATTTGGATGATTCAGGTTATTGCTTCAGGTGATGAAGATACACAAGTACAGTATAAGATAGACATAAGATGATCTGTAATCAAACTTTGTGTGAAACATTGTTGTAGATTATGTTTTAGGTTCTTTAGGAGTCAGTCTGGCTCAATCAGTAGCACTTTTGAGTCAGATGGTTGTGGTTTGAAGCCCCAGATTAGACTTTGTACTCACAGTCTCGGCTGATTCTCCAATAGAGTGCTCAGAGAGTACTTTGGGTGGCTGCGGCTTCAGATGAATCAATAAACTGAGAGTTTGTCCACCTACTCAGGTGGACTTTAAAGATTCGGTAGTGCTATTCGAAAAGAAAAAAGAGTTCCTCCTGGGGTCCTGGCCAACAATCCCCCAGATAAAATTGGTCATTCACATCATAGCTGTTTGGGGGACATTGTTGTGTGCACGTTCACCTTGAACATACACAGTCACTGCATTTCACAGTAAGATCCTGTGAAACATTTTGAGACATGCTCCAGACATGAATGGCACTATATTAATGCAAGGATTATTATTATTGAAGTGAAGAATACCTTTTGCCATGGATTGTGCTTGAGATTGAGTGAAACAAGACCTGATGAATGTTTACGGAGGATTCCTATTTCTTCTTTGAGGGAAGTTAGCTGGTTCCAACTCAAATCCAAATATTTCAACTTTTCCATTCCTTTGAATCCATCCAATGACACCAAATGGTTGTGGCTGACATCCACATACTCTAGGTGTACCTGTAACATTTTAAAAGTGTGAATTCTTGAATCATAATCATGTAAAACAATAGTAAGTTGATTTTCCCAGTTTGTTAAAAAGAAGCTAGGTACAAATGACTTATATTTTCAACTCGAAGACATGATAAGGCGCTATATTAAATGCAAAGATTATTTTTTTATTTATTATATTTTGCACAGGACCTTCACTGAGATTTTTCACCAGTATCCCCCAAATTATTGATAATTGCCCATTGAGAAGATTCTGCCTTGACAACATTAGAGAGGATACAGAGAGGGTGTGCCAAGCTCAAGGTTCAAAGATCCTTCTGGTGCTTAAGGTAAGAATGTAGATTTAAACAAAGCCTGAAGCTTCCATGGGCCTCAGATATAGGTCAGTATCCTCTGAATAAGACCAAAAAAGCTGCATCCTGTGCCACCACCACAAGTTTGATTAAATGTTTAAACAATATATGTGCTAAAAATAGTCTACGCAGTGTTTACTAAGCGTCCTTCAGTTCTCACCAGATGTGAAAGATCATCGAGATGCACCAGCTCATTGAAGCTAACAGTAAGTTTCTGCAAATTTATCAGTTTGGATATGCCTTTCAACTTACTCAGACTATTTCCGTGTAAGGACAGAACCTGTAAGATGGAAACATGCAAAATGAACAACATTCAAGTTATCAACCTAAACTGTTCATTTAAAAACAACATTCAAGTTAACAACCTAAACTGTTCATTTAAAAACGGAAAGTATATGTTTGTGAAACTCTCAGCAGTTATGTTTGAGTGCTCTTAAGCACAGTAATGATTTCCATGTGGGTCAGACACTCGGGCTGACCAAAGAAAAAACTGTTTAAAACTGTTTAACCATTACAGTCCTGTTACGATTCTGGGTGGACCTGGGGAATATCATATCAAGGGTCTGATTGCTACAAGTCAGCAGTCTATCAGCAAGGTGGAGTCAAACATCCAACATCATGTTGGTCCCTCCAAAACAACCATCAGTGACACCCTTTCAACCTCCCAAAAGCACTGTTATCAACTTGGGCTTATTCAAGTAGCAATTGAAAGTTGCTTCTATTAAAAAAAATGAAGTTCCTGCAAGGTAAATAATCTAATATATATACCACAAGGCACTGTATTTGGCTGTATATACAACTGAAGGGAATTAACTCACTGTGATCTGACTCAACACAGCAGCCTTAGCAATAGAAAGCATTGTCTTCTCATCCAGGCTTATGACTTTAGGTCGTGGTTTCATAATGGGCTCCATGTTTACAATCTCTTCATCCACAGCCTTGGCATGGCGCGAGTTTAGTGCTTCCAGTTTAGCTGAGTTCCTTTGAGATGTGTTATTTTCAGAAAATGTAGAAACAAATAGCTGTGGGTTGTCCTAAATAAATTATATTTATGACAAATTGTATTCTAAAAGACAAAAGTGGTGCAGTAGTTAAAGAGGAAGATAACACGTTCACGGACTATATTCTGGAAGTATTCACTAAAGATAACAACGACAACTTGCCGTCTAGCTTTTCCCACTGTCTGAGAAAATCCTCATCATTGTGACTGAGGGCCAAGCTTAAGGTGATTCAAAAATTAACAAGCATCCAGGGCCAGTCTGCACACATGCCGGGGATCTGAAGGAAAATGGGGAGGAAATTTATGTGGCAACAGCTATTGCCATGAGTGTTAGTGAGATTTCCTTGCACTGGAGAGAAGCTAGTGTGACCCTACAAGCACAAAGAGTGTGATAAATCTGATCATCAGCCCAACATATATTTCAGGTAACATAATGGAAACTATACTATGGATGTAAAGAGCAAAACAACATGGATTTAGAAGGGGAAAACTCCCTTGCCCTTCAAAACCACCACACTTCCAGAGGCAAACAACAATGCTTCTTTTCAGCATGCTAAAGACCTCCAGTTCACTACGATCTGCAAACTGTAATTGTGTAAAAAAACATGATACATACCGGTGTTATGTATTCAAAGTTGATGACATATTCGGGCACAACAAGCTCATGGTCAAATATGAACCATTCATATTGGCGCAGACTGCAGTCACAGCCACTGTGCAGTTTTAAGGTAGAGGTGGATTCTGGCAAGTGACATTCAAATGCAGGAAGCAATACAAAACAAAAAGGTTAAGTGCTGCAGCGAGTCAATGGTGCATACTTTCTATATAATAATCCTTCATAAATAATAATCCTTGCATTTGATATAGCTCTTTTCACATCTTCTAGATGTCTCAAAGCGCGTCACAGAATATGCTGTAAAGTGAATTGACTGTATATTTGTGGGCGAAACACAGCAACCATTTGCACACAGCAGCGTCCCACAAACAGTCGTGGATTGAAGTGACAAATTTATTATTATTTTTCTTCTTGAGGGGTTATTATCAGGCGTGTGGAGTAAAGAAACTTGCCCAAGGTTTTGACCTACCGGGAATCGAACCCAGGTCTCTCGCTTGCAAGGTGAGTGCTCTAACCACTAAGCTACAGGACTTCTATGGATGCTTAATGAAATAAAAGTCTCATGTACTGCCCATGACTGTCCTCTATTCTGTGCTCAGTACCTGGAACTTAGAAATCTGTGGTTTTGCAATAGGAAAGGTCCAATGAGTCCAGCAGTTTTTTCAGTTTAAGGCTCATTAAAAAGAACACATGTAGCAAAGCTATCATACGTGTTAGGGCTTTGAAAACAATGTTGAGGACTTACTCCTCAGAGCCAGGATGCTGTTTACCTCCTTCCCAATGAGATTTCTTCTTAAATCAATCTTTTAATTTGTTATTCCCTATGAATAGTTATTATTTTGCACTTTCCTGGTCATCGAATTACTGATCCAAGATATATTTGTATTCATAGGAATAACTTACACCACAATCTTAGATACTTTTATCAGCCATACCTGGTTTCTCCATTTTCCGAGGCCTATAGACTGAATTTGTCTTAGGATAGTTTTTCTGTAAAATCATTCCAGAGTCCTGGGTCTGAACACTGTGTCCAAGGAAGACTTTGGCAATAACAATCTGACCTGAAACCAACATTAGAAACCTTTGATTCAACAGTATAAGGAAAACGTAGATAATATCATACTTTATTATAGTGGGAGTATAACAGCATATTCTGAATTGAAGCATAAGCTAGCAGCATTCTGTACATGTTAAGTTCACCCGAGAGTTCTCCTCAGCACCAGGCGAGAACTGTTTGACACGATTAATTCTGCACTCTTGCAGTTTCCCACTCAGAATTCAATAATATAATACTGGAAGGTCAAAAAGGTACAGAAACAATGCAAATATAAACAAAAACAAGAGAACAGACCGGAAGGTAAAGAACTAATAGATTAATCACTTTTACCATATTTGAACGGTACTGGATCAGTATAATTTTTACTCTGGACTTCAGCTTGTCGCTTCAGATATTCAATTCTGGGATAGTCACACAGGCTTATGCTGTTAGAAAGGGGAACTGCCTCATCGCGACCTAAAAGCTGTAGAGTAAAACATGTGGGTGTTCTGTTTGTAGAAAGAAAGCAGCATTATGTGTTTCATTTACATTCTCCACGATAAACAGTTGCTTTCACAATAATTTACAAACATGAGTATTAAAACTGGATTGAAATAACATCAGATCACTGTATTTGCTTGGTTTAGTTCCTTTTTATAATTGAGTACCTATTCAAATCTAACACCACATATTGAATCCCTAAGGTATCGCTGATGTAGGTACCTTATATGCTTCTCCACTTTTGAAGCCATCCTCAAGAATATGCAGTATTTCATTCATTCCACTGGAATGTTGTGGATCAAATACATAAAACAAGTACTCCAGTAGCTTTTTGTAATTTCTATATAAATACAAAAAAAAGTTCAACACACCATACCTAGATTTATCAGAAAAACAAAGCTGTTCTATTACACAGACATAATGGTCAAAAATCTATGATTTAACAATTATTATATCAGAGTTGGAGCTCTATTTTGATTTCATGTCAATTTCAGTATGTTGGTGAAAATAAATTGTGACTCAAAATATATTCACTTTACTTATTGATTCTTCGCCACGCCACTGGGTTTTTACAACTTACTTCAAGCTGTTCAGCTGACTAGAAATTGTGCAAATGACAAATGCTTCTTATAGTCTAAATCTGTCTGCAGACTCTTAAAATCAATCCCTTTATAATTTTTAGTAATAATTCAGCTTTGAGGGGAGCAAGTACAAATGCAACAAAACTCACCGTGACATGTTTGATGTTCCATCTTTGTTCAGAAGAGCATGAATTTTTTCCTCGTATTTTAGCCTTAAAATTCGATTGTGAACTCGGACAATGCGATTTATTTTTAGCTCAGTCACTCCAAGTGTTTTGAAATCCCAGATACAGAAACGGGATGAGATTACATCATGGCAGGAAGAGTACCTAACAGGGCAAAGAACATCATATCATTGTACATTTTTATTGGAGAATACATTTGTTAAAGTGAAATCAACAATCAATATTAATATAGATAGTAAATGTGGTGTGTTTGGATTTCCAGAAGGCATTTGACAAGGTGCCACATAAAAGGCTGTTGCATAAGGTTAGAGATCATGGAATTAAAGGTAATATATTAGTGTGGATTGAAGAGTGGCTAACAGGAAAAAAGCAGAGAGTAGGGATTAAACGGGTCCTTCTCAGATTGGCAGGATGTGACTAGTGAAGTGCCACAAGGATCAATGCTTGGGCCTCAATTATTTACAGTCTATATCAATGATTTAGATGAGGAAATAGAACTTAACATATCCAAATTCGTGGACGATACAAAGAAGAGTAAGCTGTGAGGATGACACAAGAAGAATGCAAAGGGAAATAGACAAGCTAGGTGAGTGGGCAAGAAGGTGGCAGATGGAGTATAAACGTGTGGAAGTGTGAAGTTATTCACCTAAAGTAGTAAAACTAGAAAAGCGGATTATTTTCTAGAGGGGGAGAGACTAGGTAGTATTACTGTTGAGACCAATTTGAGTGTCCTTGTTCACCAGTCACAAAAAGTTAGTATGCAGTTACACCAAGTAACTATGAAGGCTAATGCCATTTTGGCATTCATTGCAAAAGGTTTAAAGTACAAGAGTAGGGAAGTCTTGCTGAGGTTGTATAAGGCCTCAGTGAGACCACACCTAGAATATTGTGTGCAGTTTTGGTCTCCTTATTTAAGAAAGGACATACTCGCCTTAGAGGGGGTGCAGCGTAGATTCACTAGGTTGGTTCCTGGGATGAGGGGGTTGACCTATGAGGAAAGGTTGAGTAAACTAGGCCTATATTCTCTGGAATAAAGAATTAGAGGTGATCTTATAGAAACCTATAAGATTCTTAAGGGTCTTGACAGGGTAGATGCCGTGAGACTGTTTCCCCTGGTTGGAGAATCTAAAACTAGGGGTCATAGTCTCAAAATTAAGGGTCAGCCTTTTCGAAGTGAGTTGAGGAAATATTTCTTCACTCAGAGGGTAATGAATTTGTGGAATTCTCTACCCCAGAAGGCTGTGGATACTCAGTCCTTGAACATAATCAAGACTGAGGATGATAGATTTCTAAAGGATAGAGGGATTAAGGGATATGGGGATAGGGCGGGTAAATGGAATTAGGTTAGAAGATCAGCCATGATCTTATTAAATGGTGGGACAGGCTCGAGGGGCCGAATGGCCTACTCCTGCTCCTACATCTTATGGTCTTAATATCATCAACTTGCAGTGATACAGCACCTGTCATGTCTAGAATGCCTCAAAGCAACAACAAATAACATTTGTATAGCACCTTTCCCATCAGGAGGACGTCCCAGGGTTCTGGACAGTCGGGAATCCGTACTTTACAAAGATGGAATGGAAGTCCAAGCAAGATAGGTATGAAGTGGGTGGAGATGGCAGAAAACTGATGGGTGAATAAAGGTATGACAGATGTACAAAGTGACAAATGATCAGATGTCTGGCTAGATAGAGCATTTTTTTAATAATATGGATCCCTTGTGGTCTTGCGATACATTTCCAGCTTCGGGCCCAGACTGGTTGGCTTCCTGCACATACAGATCAGCCACAACTTCACTCACAAGCCCAAGCGGTGACCCAACCACACTGATGCGGGGACTGGCAGACATTTTTATTGGTGGACCCGTTATAAGGCCTAATTTTATGGATGCAAAACATTGGGTTATAATGGGGTCTCCCGGTAAAAACAAGGTTGACAATAAGTTGTGAAGACCACAATTTGTTTTTTAATCTCTCTTTGACTCTTGAAACTAAAGAATTTAATTTGATTTTTGACAGAGGATTAAAAAATACAATGATATTGTATTAAAACCCAAGCTAATTCTTTGATTACAAGGAATCTGTTAAAATATATGATGGTTTTTTGCAAGGATCAGGCATGTTATTCCTGTAATAGAACCAAATTCAATCCAATGAATTGAACTAATACATTCCTAACTCCTTCAACCAAGCTACAAGAGTCTTTAGGTGCCAAAGTGATCATGCAATTAATCCGGTTCAACCTTAATGTTATATGTTCCTAATTTGGTTACACTAGATATTTTCTATGAGCTTATAGTTTTCACTGTACCACATATCCGAGGGTGTGCCTTCTTCAAAACGAACATTCCCTACAGTTTCCAGCTCAATTAACAAGTATTGAATGCTGAAATCGTGGTTTTCCATGGTTTGTTTCACTTCCTTCTCATAACTGGTTTCATTTCTGTGAAATGGAAAGAATGAAGCGATTTCAGTTTCGCGGCAAGTTTAAGAAAAACAATAAATATTTTCTATTCCGCTCTCAAATAGTCAAGAAAATAATGCAGTGATAATGCAGTGACCTAAATTGTCTCGTATAGCACCACATCAGGTCATCAAATTATTCTCAAAGTGCAGTGGCTATCTGTAGGCAAATGTAACCGCCAATTTGTGGAAAATCGGAGTCCAGTAGCTCAGTGGTTAGAGCACTCGCCTTGCAAGCGAGAGACCTGGGTTTGATTCCCAACAGGGCGAAACTTTGGGCAAGTTTCCTTACTCCACACGCCTAATAGTAATCCCTCAAGAGAAAAACAATAATAATTTGGTCACTCAATCTACGACTGCTTGTGGGACGCTGCTGTGCGCAATTGGCTGCCACGTTTCGCCCAAAAATATACAGTCAATTCACTTTACAATATATTCTGTGAAGCGCTTTGTGACGTCTAGAAGACGTGGAAAGTGCTACATCAAATGCAAGGATTATTATTATTATTGTAATACTGTCCAATAAACAACCTTGAAGTGAATAACCAATTTTATCTGGGTGGAGGGGGGGTTATCTGCTGCAGGGGGTTGTCTCTTTTCAAATAGTTCTGAGAGATTTGAAAACATTTTCTTAATTTTCAGACTTTTTTTAAGATCACGACCTCGTATATGTTTTACATTCAAATTAAATCTTTTCATAAAGACCTCATTGCTTTAGAAGCCAAGTGTAATTTCAGAAGTACCGTAAAAGAAATAACCCAAACTATTTTACTCACTCATCAAATTTTTTGTTCCAAACTTTCAGTCTCTCTCTTAGAGCATCCAGTTTGTGGCAACATTTTTGCTCCAGGGTAGCATCATCCCAGCCATCCACAAACACACTGTTACTGTCGTGCTGCTGCTCCTTCTTTTCGTTATTCTTCAAACAATTCCCGGAGGCCATCGGAGGATTTTGGTGTTTAGTCAACTGAAGCTCAGTCAATTCACATTCCAGCTGTTATCAGGAAAATCGGCCTGTTATCTATTTATAACACGATTATGCAAAAATCCTATGCTAAATGGGCATTGGAATTTGAAATACAGAATACTGGCTTGGCATTACTTTCAATTGTGATCAGCACAGCTTGGCCTGATTCAGGATTGCCCTGACAAGATGCTAAAATATGCCTCAGTGTTCAATCGGAGCTTTGTATGCTGCTACAGGATACAGCACTGAATGCTATTGCAGAAAAAAAGCATTGTATGTTACTGAAGGACGGTAAGTTAGAGCCAACATGAACCAAATAAAAATGTATTTCCAGCAGTAAGTTTAAAAAAAACAAGCTGTTGCACTGACCAAAAAACTTAGAACTTCCAAACGAAGTGTACCGCTGATAATTGTAGTGGGCTTTTTTCTACTTATTATTCTACTCATGAAAAACAAAATTCAAGTTGTACATTTGTTTAATAGTGCTGTATTTAAAAAGGAATAAGTTTAGATTTTTCTTCCTCCAAAGAGGAAGGAAATTTACAATTTCAGGTATTAGTATCACTGAAAAATGAAACACGTAAAAGATTCTGATTATAATAATAATCCTTGCATTTGATATAGCGCTTTTCACGTCGGGAGGACGTCCCAAAGCGCTTAACAGAATAGACTGTAAAGTGAATTGACCGTATATTTGTGGGCGAACGCGGCAGCCAATTGCACACAGCAATGTCCCACAGACAGTCGCGGATTGAAAAATGACCAATTTATTATTGTTTCGTTTTTTGGAGGGATTATTATTAGGCTCTGTGTGGAGTAAGGAAACTTGCCCAAGGTTTGGCCCTGACCTGCCTGGAATTGAACTCAGGTCTCTCACTTGCAAAGCGAGTGCTCTAACCACTGAGCTATAGGACTCCACATTGTGAATCCAAAGTGAATTGACTGTATATTTGTGGGCGAAACGCAGCAGTCAGTTGCACACAGCAGTATCACACAAACAGTCGTGGATTGAGTGACTAAATTATTATTGTATTTTTCCTTGAGGGATTATTATCAGACGTGTGTAGTAAGGAAACTTGCATTTTATGTAGCATTTTAGCTCGGGTTAGATTCCTAATCAAGTTACTAGCATCTACTTACATTTGTACAGTACTTACATTTTTTATGCAGAGGCTGATAGTTTTTATTCGCTCTTCGGGTATGCGGTGTGAAACAGACTTCTGTTTCTGCAGCTTTTCCAGCACATCTGACATCAGTTGTTGGATTGTTTTCACACGCATGTTATAATACATTATTTTCTTTAACACAGTAGACTGCAGGAAAGTGGAAGAGTAGTCAACCGAATCAATCTTTTCTTCAAGTTAATACTGAAAATCTTTTCTAATATTAACATATTCACAAAGGGTAATCTTCAGGAGTTTGAAAATGCTCCTAAAATTGTTTCTCTCTCAATTAAAAATGTAAAACTATTAATGGAATTATATTATTAAATGCAGCAATAATATACTTTTGAGCTGCTATTTTCCCCCAAAACAATGATATTAACTTGTCTCAGCATGAAGAAACTTTAATTTGGCATGCTAGTAACAGAAGGACTATCAATGACAATCTCAGATAAAGGCAAACTTCCACAATCAAGCCAAGCCGTCTGTACAATCGGGTGAGAAAGACAATTTTTTTTATTGTTACTCTTAAGAAGAAAGTGTGCAGATAGCTTGTCCCTTGTTTGGACTATTCAGTGTGTGTTGAGGTCGAACAAGTAGGGAATAAATATTCTGGAACAACATTCTTCTATGTAAAACATATCGATTTTGAAATGGTGGTAAAAGGCAAATCACAAATACTCAATGAGAGTGGGACCTTCAATACACTTTATGTTTGTATGTTTTTCGTTACCTCAGCAAATTCTTTGATCTGCTTGCTGGATACATCATATGTGTCCAGCCATCGAAGCTGTGGAATATGGTAAATTACGTGCGTTGAGTAGTTACAGAGGAGGGAGATTGGGTTTGGATTATACTGAGGATCCTTCAAGCTTAGCATTTGAAGCAGAGGCAGTCTGGATAAATTAGTGAGTTCCTGGAAAAAATAAATTAAAAGAAATACATCAGTTTCCAAAGTATTGAATACAAAAGTGAGGAAGTGATGTTCAATTGATACAAGACATTGGTTAGGCTACATATGGTGTATTGCATATTACCGAAAGAATGTCAGAGCTACAGAAAGTGTATATCCACATAAATGATACCAGGAACAAGTTATGGTTATAAATATGGGCTAAAATTGTAAGTAATTGTAATTTTGTTTAACTTAAACAATTGTTAGTAATATGACACCATTAGAGGCATAGACTTCTTGAGCCTGACAGTATGAAGCAGATGAATCAGCATGATCATAAATACAGGCTTCAAGGTGATTCTAAGATTTTGTCATTTTAATTGGGGAACTTATAAACTTGATGGTTACCATTTTTTAAATGATACCTTGAAATATAAATTATGGAGGAAACTTGTTTGATGGGCCATCTTCAGCAAAACAAGAGTTCTGATTGAGAGATACGTACCTTAAAGGAGCTTATTCGGTTTCCTGAAAGATTGAGTCGTTCCAGTTGAATATTAGAGTCCAAGCAGGAACCTGAAATGAAAAGAAAGTCTGAAAAGCTTTAAGTGAAGAAAACGTACTGGACAAAATATAAAAATATTTTAAATTAATAAAGAGAGACACAAAGAACTTTTCTGCACAGAAACGGGCATCACATTATGATCGTGGCATTACAAATTGTTTGCCCTTTTTATTAATCCCAATTTCTAGCTTTCTCTACAGATCTTTTAATGTTTTGAATGCTCAGGTACTCATCCAATTCCATTTTGAACTGTTCTATTAATCCAGCTTCAGGAGTGACTATGTTAATGAACTCCAAACCCATAGCAACACTTTCAGTCAAGAAATTCTTTCCAGTCTCTTTTTATAAAAATGCGCACATTTGAATCAACAGTTTATAGCACAAAATTAAAACAAATTCTTGGACATCATGTCTTGGAAATAAATCAAGAATATTTCAATTTTGTTTTCACAGATGATAATCTGTCCTGTAGCTCAGTGGTTAGAGCACTCGTTTTGCAAGTGAGAGACCTGAGTTCAATTCCAGGCAGGTCAGGGCCAAACCTTGGGCAAGTTTCCTTACTCCACACAGAGCCTAATAATAATACCTCCAAAAAACTAACAAAACAATAATAAATTGGTCATTTTCAATCTACGACTGTTTGTGGGACATTGCTGTGCACAATTGGCTGCCGCGTTCGCCCACAAATAAACAGTCAATTCACTTTACAGTGTGTTCTGTGAAGCGCTTTGGGATGTCCTCCCGACGTGAAAAGCGCTATATCAAATGCAAGGATTATTATTATTATAGGACGGTTTTGTACCTACCAATCTTTTCAATTGAATTAGCAGCGAGATTGAGTTCTTTCAGATGTTTTAGTGTGTTTAGTCCCTGTAAGTGAAGAAATAAACTACAATTTTAAACATCTGGTTTACGATTGTGCCAATTCAAGAGACAAATAATAACCCAACAACATAAAAATAATGGTCCTGAGTTGCCTTACATTTGTAGTCTAATTTTTAAACAATTTTATCTCGAGAAAACCAGTCAACCTATTTCCTGGCTACAGGACAAAACACAGAAGTGAACCACTTTCTGAGGAAGTAACTCATCTCCACTTGTGTTCCGGTGTGTATCATCTTAGCTTAATTTGATTATCATAATAATCTTTAAATAAAGACAGTAACTTTAAGAAGAGGTCTAGGTATACAGCCCAGTTCAATATTTTTTGAAATTGTCAAAAAGTGTTATTTTCATTATATGCAGTCTGAATACTTTAAAAGTAGGTAAATGAAGAAATTGCTCCAGGGATTTCTTTTAAGCTATTGACTGTGGTTTGGAGTTGAACAATGAGATGAAAATGCTACATAGATTTATATCAGAACAATTAATTGTGCAATATGCCACTTTGATTTCAAAATTAATATCTCACTGTCAGTATGTTAACAATGATGTACTTACCTTGATGGCTTTAATGTTATTATTGTTCAACCAAAGAATTTCCAACTTCTCTAGGCTTTCTAGATTTTTGATCTCATTGATATGATTGTAATATAAGTAAAGCCTTCGGAGATTAGTACAACACTCTAATCCCTCAATCTCCTGGAAGAAGAATACGAATGGTCACTTTTTAAGCAGTCATTTTCTTTTACCACCAGTTCAATAGGATTGGTCCTTACACTAATACTGCAGAATGTATACTTTGGAACTCAGAAGTGGTCTTTCCGATATTTTAGCTCTGTAAAATCTGCCTGAAAGAATTCTGTTTGTATTGTGTACAGGCATCTTCTGTAAAAATAGGATTTTGAACACTTTTAATGTATAGGCGCTCACAACTCAATGTTACAGCTAGCTAATTTCTAATATTTGACTCAATTTTACTAAAACATGCTTTTCTGTGGATGGTCAAATACTATAGAAAGGACAGGTAATCTGGCCATTGAAAAAAGAAAAACAAATGCTTCATTTTTTTAGACCAATTTGAAGGTCAAATCCTAGATCTATATAGGTAATCTCTGTCTATTACTTTTGTGATCAAGGGGAGCAGCCAATTTTCGTCAAAAGTCATTTGAAATGAATGACCAATTGATCTGTGGGATTGTTGGCTAAGACATTCTGAGAAATTATATTTTCTTTTTGAATAGTTCTCAGAATCTTTAACATCCACCTGAGTAGAGATGGAGTAACATCATATTTAAAAGTTAATAGGTCTAACAATGTCCCTTGGTGTTCCTCAGTATTACACTGGAGTATCCGACTAAACTATGTGCTCAAGTCCCAACTCGGACTTGAACATTAGTTAAAGGAGGCCATCATTGAGAAGTGAATGTGCACAGATTATGGGATCATACGTGCAAATATGAGAATATGACAGATGATCTATTGATATCAACTAAAACAAATTATCAGCGTGCAAAGCAAATTGTTTTCAGTAGCAGGGCTTCTTAATTTATATAAGAATCTTACATTTCTTTAAATATTTATTATAATGAAAGTAAATATGTGACTGATACATTTTACGACATGTGTTTGTAATATTGGCTTTAAACACTTGCAGAACCTCGTCTTACCTGCTGGTGTCAATGTTGTGTTATCACAGACTGTTCTCAGCAGAGCCACCAATAACAATAATAAATAGGTAACAGACAGAACCAGTTTTACTCTAATATTGGTGCCGTTTGGTTTGCATTCGCGTAAGCTTTTTTGCTATTAGTTTGTGTAAGCAAATATCACGGGAGTCCAATACAATTTAATCATTTAGCATCCCCTTTACATCCGTGTGGATTTCTGCACCAAGCAAACACTGAACCAGGTTAAGATGTTAAGAAATTGAAAGAATGCTAAATTGTGAAAACAACCTATGGTTCTGTAATTACCATCTGACAAATGTTTGTAATAATATTTAGCGGCAAATGTACAAAATATTTTGAAGTTACAGGATTGAACTCATCAGAATTAGAGTTGTAAACGATTCAAATCACAGCATTTGACAGTATTCTAGAACATGTGACAGGAGTTTCTGAAACTCACAGAATTCCTTCTTAAATTGCCTGCAAACTAAACTCACCGTTAATTGGGATTCAATAATCCAAAGTTCAATAAGGAAAGGACATGCTTCCAAACCTTCAATCCGTTTAATATCCTGCTTCACTAATGTCAGAATGACCAGATTTGGAAAATACAACAGTCCCACCATTTGAGAATATCCTGAGAAAAACATCTCCAGTTTGGTGACTTTTGATCCTTCCAAAGCAATCTTCTCATATGGCAATCCATTGCATATGCACTAACAAACAGAAAAACATAAGTGAAATACATTCATTCCAATTCAACAGATTTTTTTAAAATTGAGACACCAAATTGATTCTATCACTTTTATAATATTTTACTATAATTAAGGTGCTGGTGGAAGTGAAGCATTAATTTGTTTACCTCATTTATAATAGTGTATAGAAGTCGTACACAACACGTAAACTTGTTTCTAATTTGCTAGTAGTAATGTATACTATTTATTCTAATTGTGAACTCAAAACATGTGATGAGGGGACTAAGGAAATTGAATGTTAGGACAGCTGTACTTAACCCAACTTCAATATGACTAAATGTTACCCATGAACTGTGAGGTGATTTATTTTGGACAATTAGTTGAGTCATAAAAATTTAATTTGCGACAATTAGGTCACTTTTGCATTATTTGTAAACTAAATTCCTCGGGTTAAAAACTATTTCTTGTCTGTGAATATTGAAAACTGTTTGATAGTGAGAATGATAAAACAGCTCTTTGTAAGTCACAAAAGCTGCCAAAGTCCAGTGAGCAAGCTTTTGGGATCTCACAAATTAAGCATTTGTAATAATAATAATTCTTGCATTTGATATAGCACCCTATCACGCCATTGAGACATCTCAAACTGCTTCACAGAATATACTGTAAGGTGTCATGCCTGTGCATTTTGTGGGCGAAGAAAACAATACTGAAATCCAGATTAATGCAACAAATCCGGTTATGAAGTTGCATGGAAAATGCTCAGTTGGCGTACATTAGTTTATTACTAATGCTGATGTATTCAGCAGTCAGTGTGCATTCACATTACCCCATTCACAGGATGATTCAGCTAGTACTGCAATCTTCCAGACGCAAAGAATGTTATATCATTATTCTAAATGTGCAAGAAGAAAATTGCATAACAAAATTGGAAGAAATCATTAAAAGTTTGAAAACAACAGAATATTCTTCTTTTTAACACAAGGGGAATTGCTCACCAACTCTCTGAAAATGTCTTCTGTTCCTTCTTGACCTTGTTTTTCCTTTTCCTTTTCAGTCATTCTCAAAATTATACAATATTACCCATTTAGAATGTATGGAATGAAAATTAACCACTGAGGGAAAAAAGGCAAACAGTAAATCAAAAGGACAATCTATCATGAGTGTCATGTACTGTATAATTATTCCAAAAACGTACAATTACAGATACTGGATGGATAATCAGTGGTACTGGTATCTCTCTGGCAACTTCCAACAGACCCATTCTTCACAATGAGGCCTCGGAGTCTCAGTAACTGAGCCTAGTTGTGTCCTTAGCCAACATAAATGCTCCTGCAAAGACCCTGTCTGATATTTTACCTTCCTAAACTGTGGACTCTGAAACTTAATGAAGAATCCTCACCACTGCTCCAGGTGAGATTAAGTAATTAAGCACAGGCCAAGGTTCAACATTGGCTTTTTCTCTGGTATGGGCTAGGTCATCAACAAACCAGTAAGTGCAGTGAGTCACGAGGAGAACTGGGACGAGGTTGTTCTGTTCATTATATGGAAAATGCAGGCAGCTTTCCTGCTCCAGCAACGGCTTCCACTGCCTGCTATTTAGTTTCTGCTACCCCTGACCTGTGACACTCTGGTCAGATAATTCATTGAACCTAATAATTATAATTAATGTGTAGTGCCGGCAGCTTCTATGGTTGTCGAGAGACAGACACTGTGACCCTGATTATCCGTCTTCCCCATCAGCTGCCACAATTGGGATACTGCTTTCAGCATCTGCTCACCCCTTCTACACTGCACTTCAGTATCGTCCTTGAACTACAATTTGATATACTGTATTACCACCAAATAATTTAAGTGTTGAAACCAATGCACCACAAAAGTAAACGAGAATCTGTATTCAGTTCAAACACCTACCTATTCTTCAAAGTTGTTGCAGACGACATTCCTTGCTTTAATGTACAAGGAACACATTGAGAACTGAGGATCCTGAAATGATGAAATGATCACTCCGTGATAAAACAGAATCTTTGTGTAACAAGTATAGCATTACAGTAGAGAGATTGTTTTAACTGGGATATTTGAAACATGTAACTTATCATGAAATCAATGTGCTATTTTCACATATGTAGCCTCTAATATCCATCAATTTCAATTATTCTCCAGGAAGTAAATTGGCTCCATTGTGGCACATTATGGACATGAATGCCTATGTTTGTCCATGTACAATAAAGAAAATGGAAGTGTGTGTGTTGGGGGGGGGTGGAGAACATAACAGCAGATGCCTAGCCTACACGTTCCAGGATTGGAAGGCTATGTTGAAAAGCAAAATTGTGGACATTATCCTAAATGTAACATGAAATGTAGTTGGTGTTAAATTTCTGAAGTCAAATTAAATTCATATTTATGGTACATAAATGAATGCAGACAGAACCCCAAAACTATGCTGTTAAAATCACGTGCATACACGGGGGGAGAGGGAAATGGAGAGCTGGGGCTCAGGTTGAGTATAAACATTGGTGTTGACCAGTTGGACCGAATAGCCTGTTTCTCGGCTGTAATGGTCTATGCAATTCTTATATTCTATACTACTGTACTGGCATTTTGAACAATATGGTTCGATTTCCTTCTGGTTGTCTTTTACGGCATGTCTTATTCAGAAACGTAATGCGTGTGGTTTCTTACCAGGGAGCTAAAGCAATGCTGCTACTGATGATCATCTGTGAAGGAGATCAATAATATCATGACAGTAACTTGGCCTCTGAACGTTTAGGCCGTTCCAAGAGGAAACAAAGACGGGTTTTGGCCGCTGACTTGAAGTGTATACAATTTTTGAGTCTTGCCAATTATACCTCCATCGTTTCGGTTTGATATTCTGCCTGTCGAGCCCGGTCGGCTATTTTATGAGATGATGGGAGATCTTTAATCTCATCTTCCTGCCAAAATTTCCATTTCCCTCAGTATCCTGACTTCTCCCACTGGCTGTACCTGTTCACTTCCCTGTGAATAGCGCAACTGATTCTGCATTTCTGATCTGGTGGGACATGAAGTGTAGGTTGGGTGGTGGGGGGGAGGGGGGGAGGGGGAGGGAGGGAGAGGGGGTGCAGAGTGGGGTGGGGGGGCAGAAGGGGGATTGGAGGGGAGGGGGGGGGTCTGAGAGGAGGGCAGAAGGGGGAAAAAGGGGTGGGGAGGCAGAGGGGCAGAGGAGGGGGAGTGCAAGGGGGTGGGGGGGGGGTTGTGCAGAGCGGGGGTGTGGGGGTGAGAGGGAAGTGGGGGAGAGCGGGGGGGGGGGTGGGGGGCCTGATGGCTTTAAACTTCGGGCAATTTGTGTGTGGGACGCGCGCGGAGATCAACCTGAGGGTGGGGGGGGGGGAGTGGGGGAGGGGGGGGGGGGAGTGGGGAGGGGGAGATGTGTGCGTGTGAAGGAAAAGGTCGAGCTATGACCGTGTGTGTGTGTGTGTGTGAGTGAGTGAGTGTGTGTAGCCGACGGCTGGTCTCCCCCCCCCCACCCCCAGCCCCCGGGGGGGAGGGGGGCTCTGGGCTCAGCCCGACAGTCAGTTGGTCACTAATTGTGTCAGTTTGTGTGTGTGTGTGTGTGTGACTGACCTGCGGTGTGAGGGCCTGAGCCCGGGCCCCGAGCCGTGGTCTCGGGGTCTCGGGGTCTCTCTCTCTCTCTCTCTCTCCCACTTGTTGCGCGTCTCTGTTGTCAAGCAGCCATTTTGGTATCCACAGTGGGCGGGGTCACAGGTCACGTGTGACCCGTCAGCGCTGTTACCTCTGCCGTCACCCCTCCCCCCCACTCCCCCCAACCTCCCCCCACACCTCCACCCCTCCCCCCCACTCCCCCCCACCTCCCCCACACCTCCACCTCCCCCCACACCCCCTCCCACCCCACCCCTCCCCCCCACCTCCTCCCCCCACTCCCCCCTCCCCCCACCCACCTCCACCCCTCCCCCCCCACCCACACCACCTCCACCCCTCCCCCCCCACCCCCACACTCCCCCTCTCCCCCCCCACACCACCACCTCCCACCCTCCCCCCCACCCCCACACCTCCCCCCCCCACCTCCTCCAACTCCCCCTCCCCCTCCTCCACCTCAGACTCAGTCTCCATCACCATCATTGTCTGTGGGTGATGGTCCAGGCAGCCTGGCATATCATCATCATCCTCATCATCATCACCATCATCATCCTCATCATCATCATCATCATCATCATCTTCATCATCATCATCATCCTCATCATCATCTTCATCCTCATCACCATCATCATCCTCATCATCATCATCTTCATCACCATCCTCATCACCATCATCATCATCCTCATCATCATCCTCATCACCATCCTCCTCATCATCATCATACAACAACATCATAATAAAAATCATAATAATAACAATAATAACAACAATAATAATGTAACAGTGACAACAGCATTAATAATAATAACAACAATAATAACAATAATAATAACAATAATAACAATAATAATAACAATAATAATAATCTAACAATAATAATAACAACAATAATGATAATAACAGTAATAATAATAATCTAACAATAATAACTAATAATAATCTAACAATAATAATAATAATCTAACAATAATAACTAATAATAATCTAACAATAATAATAATAACAATAATAACAATAATAATAATCCTTGACACGACATGTCGAGCAACTGCCAGGATAGTGGAAGGCGAACTATACAATACAAAACAAAATGACATTGGTATAGTGCCCTTCACATGGGGAGCACGTCCCAAGGCGCTGGATGGACTTGATGGACCTGGGGGGGGGGGGGGGGGGGGGGGGGGGAAACAGAAAAAGGCAAAATATGCTGCAAACCTTGCATCAAGGACAAGCTATGCAGTTTCAGCAGTTACCCCAAAGCACACCCTGTGGTCCCCAAGACTTGGCTCTGCGCCTAATACTCTCCGGAATTAGATAAGCGGGATCCATCCCTCCAGCGAGAGTGCACGTTCCATTCCAACAATCTGGAATTTCCACGTGTAGGTGGGATGCGTGAAACTCTCAGTGTGGTTTGGATCCTCTTAAGCACAATGGTGTGTCAGATACCCATCTGACCAAAAAAAAATATTCTCCGTCACCTCTCGCCAAACAAATTTACTACAATTGTTACCCTCCAACCAATTGCTCTGTTTGGATAGTTTTTGGTAAAGGGTAATTGAAAGCATCCTGTTAACATTTTTTGTGTGATAACACAAAAGAATGAATTGACCAGTCATTGCAGTTGTCTGCAATGTATTAAACATGAATCAAATCTAAATTGCAGACAGCAGACAATAAAATGGAAGGGGAAGGCCATTATGGAGAAATCCATTGTTTTGGGCAATCTGCCGTGTTTATTATGGCCAACAATGCACCATATAGAATTGGTCATTCACATCATGGTTGTCTGTGCGCTGTGCACAAATTGGCCGCCACGGTTGCCTGCAAACACACAGTGACTAGACAAGAACAAATTCATGTGAAAAATGTGAAAATGTTACAGTTAACTGTATCAAATCCAAGAATTATTTATTATAACTAGTGCTGCCACCTATTTGAGCTGTGCTGACATTTCTAAAATAAACTGGACACCTTTCTCATTCTCATTCTCATTCTTTCCCACACTTCTATGTCTTATGAATGTGCTGTGCAGGAAACAGTTAATTATTATTATTCAAACATTTGCCCTGCCAAACAAATTTCTGGAAATGTTTAATACCCACAGAGTTACTGCAGCTTGCCAAACATCGGTTATTTACTCCATCAAGATAACGTATAAATTACTCATTCTTCAAGGTGGCATTTTGAATGTCAAAACATCTACACACAAACAGTCGATTTATGTTCATTCGAGGGAGGATGTCTGTTGCAATTATCACATTCATAATATTTTTGGACAACTTTAAACCCTAATTCTTAGAAATATATTTAAAAAGCACCCCAACGTGTTGCTGATTCCTTTTTGGCAAAATAATCCAGTAACTTTCCAAAAGTAATATTTTCATCCGACCTGTTGTAACTGGCTCCCACGTCTGTTTCAACCCTGAAAGTTTCCAGAAATCCTGACAAGACCAATTCAGCGTTGTTTTTGTTTGAACAGAACAGTTCCTAGAGTTACCTCCAGGGGCCATTGTTCCAAATCCACAGCCGCGCTGCCCAATTAGTGTACGTCATTTGACGTTTAGTTTTATGGTGTTTCCATCACATCTGAAAGTACAAAACTGATGAAGTTTTCCTATGGATAAAGGGATTAAGGGATATGGGGTTGAGGCGGGTAGGTGGAGTTAGAATAGGTCAGCCATGATCTTACTGAATGGCGGGGCACAGGCTCGAGGGGCCGGATGGCCTACTCCCGCTCCTAATTCTTATGTTCTTAAACCACAAAATTGAACTGCGCACAATTGCGTTTCGCCTACAAAATGTACAGTCAGTTCGCTTTACATGTTCTGTTTTGAGCACTTTGAGACGTCTCGAAGATATGCTCCACCAAATGATTGGATTATTGTTATGAAGATTCAGTGAATTTTCAACGTGCAGAAGAATGTAAGCTCAATTCAGAGTAGTTAATTGTGCAGCAAGCAATGCATGTTTACTTTTCCAAAATTCTCTCTTCGTCCTCTGAAGACAACGACAGCACCAGCAACCTTCTGCTGGCTTATCCAACAAGGTAACATTCGTTATGTGTGAGCTACTCCTCTCAGTTTTATTTGGGGGAAATTTGCTAGAGCGGGCTAGCTAATGTGTTTGCCGACATAACACTTCACTTCTCATCGTTTTCACTTTGTAAAGCACTTTTTTGAGATGTTTGTTTTGCTTGAAAGGGGCGACACCAATGTAAATGTTGTTGTACAGTATTGTTGTATTGCACCATTGTATAGCACCGTTAAGACCACAGACATTGGATGAACTCAATTCAGTGAATCTGGATCAAGCTTAACTTTTAAGTAATGGACAGTTTGGGGAAATGCAAGACTTGAAATTCTCCACCGTCCTCAGCTTTACCCCCCCACCTCACCCCCGTCCCGGCCCCTCCCCACAGCTTGGCGCTGGATAGATCTAAATCGTTGTTTGTGTGTACAAAAGAATTTTGTTAAAAAAAAACTTTATTCCGTGCGTTCACCTACAAAAATACGCGGTCACCGCACTTGACAGTAAATCGTGCGAAGCGCCGCGAGACGTCCCCCTCCCCGGCCTAGAAAGGTGGCGCATCGTCATCGCCTCCCACCTACGGGCGGGCTGGCGCGCGCGAGTTTTTTTTTGCGTTTTTTTTTTGCACGACGCAAGGAAAAGCCACCGGGCGCTCCAGTCGTGTTCTGGAACGAACGGTTTTTTTGTCCAAGTAGGGCTGAGGTTGAGCAGTGATGAGAGGAACCACTCCCCGTCAGCCCTCTCATCTCTGAATTGGTGCTGTTCGCCCTCCCACAGACTGACGTCAGTCTGCAAACACTGAACCAACACACGAGCCATTTTCCATTCACATGCGTTGGAAGTCTTCATCCAGAGGAGCCAGAGCATCGGGAGCCAGTGCACCGGGAGCCAGAGCACCAAGAGCCAGAGCACCGGGAGCCAGAGCATCAGGAGCCAGAGCACCAAGAGCCAGAGCACCAAGAGCCTGAGCACCAAGAGCCAGAGCACCTGGAGCCAGAGCATCAGGAGCCAGAGCACCGGGAGACAGAGCA